GATATGTATTTACTCCGAGTCCTTTCCTATTCAGAGTAGCTCACAAGGGAAAACAGAAAGAGCTGCTGTCAATACTGCTAGTCCTAGTGTGGCCCAGGCAGTTCTCCTTTGGGGATCTTTTGAGTCTCTTGGAATTAATACCTAAGAAACCTTCCTTTTCTCCTGCATCCTTCAGCACGTGTGAGCTAGCTTGGACATCTGAATCTGTTTCATTCTTTTTGCAATCTGGATGCTAAGCAAATCATACAGTTATCATTGCAGAATTGCTGCATTGCTATTAACAAAAGCATTTTAATAAATCTTAAAAGCAGGGAATGGTCAAATACAAAGATTTATTAGGCTTACTCATCATTGTTTGAAGCTTTAGGTGAAACTAGTTTGCAGTCTCTTTCCTTGCATTTTTGCCTCTCATACTGGACAATAGAGTAGAGCCAAAAAATCTGGCTCTTTTCCTTCATTTGGTCAAGGTTATTTTGACAGCTGCTTGACCATACTTAGGCCTTTGGCCAAGGCTGAGTATGGGATTCAGGGTGGGGGAGTTTAGAGATGCAGGAACCTTGGTCTAGTTTGGAAAGGACCTCTGAAGATCATGTGGTCCAATCTCCTGTTGAAAACGGGTCTTATATTACATTACCTAGTGTCCTGTCAAGCTGTCTTGAATATCTCCGGTGAGGGAGATTCCACAATTTTTCTGAGCAATCTGTGCCAATGTTTAATTGTCCTCATAGTGAAGGATTTTTTTTTCTTATATCCAAATGGAATTTTGCCTGAAGCAGCTTGTGCCCCGTGCCTAGTCACTATGCATCCTTGTGAGGAGAGTCTTAAAAAAAAACCTCGATTCCTGGCACATGTGGCATCAATTGCTGAGGGTCAGAACGTGCTGAAGATAGCTGAATAGATAGATAACGTTGTTATAGCAATAAAGTAAGTATGGTAACTGGCAAGGTTTACATAAGTAATCCCTGGCACTCTGCAAGTTAGTGCCCTTCCCTCTCAAGAGTCATTAGTTCCTAATAGCAGTTGATTCTCCTCAGCTTTTCTGACTTACTGCCAGTTAGCTTTTAAATGCTCCTAAGCACACGTTGCACAGGATGCATGTAGTTTTGCTACAGCCTGTCCCATGTTATGTGGGATTGGTGCTAAGAGGTTATAATTCCACAGAACTAGATAAACAAAATATATCTAAATATCTAAGGGCTTATATTTAAATGTTATTTACCTTACTTTGGAAAGTGTTTCTGAAAGCTATACTCATTACTGCTCTGCATTCCACGTGCTATTCTGTTGTAGTCTTGTGACTTTAGATAAGAATGTTTCTCTGTTTATAAGAGGCAGCATGAGTCTTTGTGCATCCCCAGAATTGAGTGCCAACATGCAATCATTTCACAATTTGGAAACTAATAGAAAGCTGAGCATCTCTTGTTAATGGCACCACTGGAACTGCGTGCCTGAAAATAAGCATCGTAGTGCCTGCACAATTTTATTGTAGGTAATTATGCATTGAAAGGAAAGAAAGTCCGTTTCTCAGAGTTTAGCTTAAAACTTCAATTTATCTACAGCCAGTTAACAATTAAATTGTACACTGCATATCTAAAAGAAATAATTCGGAGGATAAATGTGGACTCCCTAATATTTTGTTGAATTACTGTGAAGCGTCTCTGTTCCCAAGAGGATTGCTTTTTTGACTATAAGCAGGACTTGGAAAACCTATGACCTGCAAATTGCAAATAACTAGCTGTTTAGATGCATAAGGTGAGGGCCAAGGATAAGCAAAATCAGCTGCTGTGTTTTACTGGAAAAAAAAAAAGATCAGATTTTTAGCAGGTTCAGTACCACTTGGAGTATCCAAAGTCGTACCAGTATGATGGGATAAGCTGGATGCAACCTGCTGGCAGGTAGGCTGGTTGCGGAAGAAAGAAAACTTGGGCTAGATAGTTTTTAACACATTTGAAAATTGATCGCAAAGTTGCGTTACAGTTAAGTGCATTCCCGATCCTTCCTAGTAAGTCCATTCCTTCTCACTGCTCTTCTGCAGATCAATGCAGAGTGCCTGTTCTGAGTGTTTTTCAGGTTAAGATTTTGGAGCATTCCTCTTCCTTGAGTCAGTCGCTCTAGTGTTTACGTCTTTTGATCTTGCTTGGAGCTTTTCTAACTCAGCAAAGGTGTAGGGTTCACTTGTTTCAAAACTGCAGATTGAGAACCGACAGAAATGGTGTTAAGTTCTTCACGGACTGACTTTTGCCATTAACAAGGTGATGTGCCTGGGAGGCAGGGCAGAGGAATGCATGGTGACATCAGCTTGTATTTGTTTCATGTTTTGTCCACATTGGAAAAGTGGGGTTTGGGGGATTTTTTTGTTTTTACAAGTACCAAATCTGGAAGCATTTTTCTGTTTAATTTAAAGCTTTAATTCTGCAAAATTTGTTTTCCTTAGTTCCTGTGACTGCTGATGGACTTTTTCCTGCTTGTCATTGAAACGTAGACAGATCCTCGGCTCTCTAGTTCCTGAGTTCGGTTTTCTGAAGGCAGCCTGTGTCTGAGGCTCCCCTATCTTGATGTGAGCGCTACAGAACGTAGTTGGTCAGCAGTAGCTTTCTGTTGCACTGCTTCGCTTGTTTCTAATTTTTAATTTGATTAAAAATGTGAATTGGAAGCTGTGTTGCGTTAGTAGCTGGACAATTTTGAGTATATGTGAATGTGTAGGGTAAAGTTGCTACAATTTGTGCATGCAGTGGTTGCTAATAGTGTAGTCATGTATTAGCATTTAGTATTTTGGAAATAAATTGTCAGTGTAGAACTTGTGTCATATGAAAATGTAATAGTTTAATTTGAACGGGCAGTTAGTTTTCATATCTGCCCATCTTCAGCAAGGTTTAAAAGGAAAAAATAAGGTCTGTGTACAATTGAAATGGTAGGATTTAATCTTTAAATTCTTAAAAAATGAAAATCAACAGCTTAATTTTGAAAGGAGAGAAATGTGATGTACCCAGATGCCCCAGCTAAAATATCCACAGACATCAGGAGAGATGTGGAGTAATTCAGTTATCCTTGAGCTACACATCTAATTTTGTAGACAAATAAAGACTGCAAAGCTGCTTTTAAAAAGCCAACTTAACTTTCGATTACAGAAGGTTTCAGTCATCAAGTTGGGGAAGAGAGTTCTTGACCAATGACGCGTCATGACTCTCATTATTTAAAAATAAAAAGATGTAAAATCTCTCAGTGTTTACACACGAACTCAGGTCATCTGTTTTGTTTCAGTGTTGCAAAAAACAAATTCTGTTTGTTTTTTGGGTAAATTTACCTCGACAAAACAGATGTCAATTTACTGTTTTAGGAAAACGTAGTAATGTCATAAGGAGACAGAGCTGGACATTTCTCATTTTTGAGAAAATAAATCCATGTGTTTTTTTTTTTTTCTTGAAGTGAGAAGGAGAATATCCTTTCCTTTTCTATTAAAAAATTTTTGGAGCTGATAAGCTGTGATAGATTTTTGTGAAATAATCAAAGTTGCATATTTAAAAAATGGGGGAAAACCTCATTCCGTTGAACTAATTGGGGATGAAATAGGGAGGAACTAAGTATTAAATACGTAGGTGAGCATATTTGGCTTAGCAAATCTTCAGGTCCTTCTGTACACAGAGCAGGAGCCATATGCCGAGCTGTCAGTTCTCCTAAGAATGGAGAGGAGGCTGAGGAAACCTGTGGAGAAACGCAAACAAAGGGACAAAAGCATAAGCTGCTTGAGAAGTCACAACTGATCTGCAAGTGATATATTTATTTCGATTACGGCTTCACGGCTATCTTGAGGCCAAACGAGAGCTACAGAGCACAGCAGCTGACAGGTCGCTCTGTAGCAGAGCAGTGCTGGGAGCAGCCTGGGAAGGGGCATCTGCGTTTCCGCCTTGATCTGAGCGTTGCTGAAGAGCTTGAATGGAAACCTGGCTTTCTCGACTGGTGAATATCAGGAGCAAACCTGCCATTTTTTATTATAGCTTTTTCTTAAAATGACGGCACGCTTATCAAAAGTACATGATGTTTGAGCATTGATGTGGAAAGTGTTTGAAGTTTTTAGGTCTTTATTTGAATGCTCTGTAATTACTTTGCAGCTACATTTGCAAAATGTATTGTAGCACTTAATTAACATTGGACTTTTAAAGTGGAAAATAGTGTTATCTGTTACCGGATTTCATTGGTAGGATCTTTCTGATTTTGAATTTTAAGTGGTAAAACTTGTCGATGGTTTTTCTTGTCTGAACAGAATTTCTGTTCTTGTTAAGAAAAAAATATTTTAAATGGATTTTCTTGTGTAAACCACTATAAAGTGATTAAAAGTGTTAAGCTCTTCAAAAGGCAATGTCTTACAGTATTTGAATAGCTTACATACTAATTGGTTTTTCAACTCTGTGTCTGGCTCACCTGTGACTTTTTGTTCTTCAGCATGTTTTGCTACAAGGTAGTGTATCTTGTAATTTGCTTGCTGTCCATTGTTAGACAGTTCCCTAATTATGTATTTTACCTTTTTGTTATGGTATTCTCAGGAGCTTGAGATGCTTTCTTAAGTCCTAATATAAGCTTTTTTTAAAACTTTGTATGATATTGGGTGGTAGAAAGTTTGCTTTTTTTCTCATTTTTGGACAAAAAGTTTAAAAGAATTTCGGTAAACTTCTGTTGAAATATTTATTACCGTAAAACTATAAATGTGTTTTTTGCATAAGGAGATGAGATCAAAGGTTATTTCATCATCAAGGTTTGTCCTTTACGTTTACCTGCGAATGTTTTGATTCCTAGCCATCTACCTAGTGAATGGCTAATATGAAACCTAAAATGAATTCATTAAAAGATTTTTTTAATTTTTTTTTTTTTTTAGAATTTTTAAAGTAAACTGTGTGAACAGAAAAATAGTCTAAAGGTGTTTCAAATATACAGCATTAACCTCCAGCTTGTTTTCTGTAGTGATTAGTTTGAAGCTTTATGTAGACAGCTGGGAAGCCTTTATAATGGGTGTCCTTAGTAATGAAGAGGAAAACTTTCACCTTAACAAGATTTTCTCTCGTGTGCAGCTTGCGCAATTTAGGCAGCGAAAAGCACAATCTGATGGGCAGAATGCATCAAAGAAGCAGAAAAGGAAAAAGAAAACAGCAAACATCAAAGATGATGAATCGTTACAAGATGGACCTGACATCGATCGATCTCGAGGGGATGAAACATCCACATGCAGCAGCCGAAGAGGAGCAGCTGCTACTGCTGACTTTACTATAATCAGGACTTTGCACAGTGGAGAAATTATCAAACACAACCAGACTTACACCATTGAGGTAAGTTTGTCTTAGCCTATGAACTGTTTATTTTTATTTTTATATATAGATATATATATATATATAAATAAATTTTTTAAAATCATGTCCAATATAAATATTCATTTCAGAATGGGAATGTATGAATCATCTGAGACTAGAAATACTATTTCCTTGCCTCAGCTGTCTGTCCTTAATATGTCCAGAGACTTTTTACCTGCCTGCTAGTATCATGTTTTCTGTGGTAGTCAGTGTAGCACAGATTCTAAAAAGTTTGTTGGTGCTACTTGTGAACTCCCTAAATGGACAAAAATTGGTTTTGTTTTATTTCTTCATTTTATGCATTTAATTTTATTAAGGTTTACAAATTGCAGTGGATTTTTTTTGATGACTGCAACTGTGGCTACAGCAAAATACAAAGCTAAGCATCCTTCTAGCATTCATAATGTAATTTGACTCTTTTTGGTTTATGAAGAGGAGGAATGTATTTAGAAAACACTACTTAGCTTTGGATGGCTTAAGAGACTGATACGTGGATACTCTACTTTTACTGCTTGATGGAGTATAATCCCGATTGCTAGTGGCTGAAAGTATATACTCTGGGAAGGTTGCAAGATGCCCAGAGTGAAATACACTGGCAGTCAGTTCAGTTCTAAGTGACATGAATTCACATAACAAAATACGTTGCTCCTTGATAATGTATCTCAGGAAAAGACGTGCCTGCTCTTAACAGAGTAGGTTATTGTATTCTTGGAAGCAGTATCTCTAAAAAGGACATAAATGCTGTTTTGAACAAGAAGCTCAGCCTAGATTTCCTTGCTCTGTGCATGTCAGTGTAGTCCTTTCCAAGGAGTGTAGTCCAGAAAGAACTACTGTTCTTTGTTATAGGTTGTCTATGGCTTGCTTACTCATGTTAAATGAGTAACCAGTATTTTCAAGTTGGAAGATAGTTGGCTAAAACTTCTATCTGTGCAGTATTAATAGAAGAGAAAAATTCTGAAAGTTTCAGTACTTCATAACAGTTACAGTTGTTATATTACAGCTTTTAGTTTTATAACTGTAATGATTTGATAGACATCTTATATTAGAGTAATTGGATTAGGGTTTGTTTAGCTGAAATGACAGCCAATGTAATAGCCAGTTGCAGGCTAAATCTCTCCATTGCAGAATTAAAGACGACTTGTTTGAGCTGTTTTCTTTTTCACCCAACATTAAATCTTTATAGGCTGCTGTGTTGAGAGAGTAAGGGAAGATTACTGGAGGCATTATGCAGGATTATTTTCTAGCTAAAATTCAATTCCGTTTACTTCCACTTTTAGTGGAATTCATATTTGGATTGGGGAGGGGGGTGCCACAAAACAAAATCATAATATCTGACTATACTGCATACCTTTCTAAAAGTCGACTGGGCTCTCCCATAGTAGTTTTGTGGATAGGTGTTTATCTCCCTGCAATCTTTCTAGTACAAGTTTTTAGTCCCAAATGGAACACGTGGGCAAGAGCTGTCTTCCTTGATACAACTAATGAATTAAAATAGAGGCACACCTCTGGGAGTTTTGCTCAACTCAGAGTTCCCTCTTTTCTCTCTCTTCTGCAGGGCAGCTGTTTTTTCCCCTCCTCCCCAATCCCTCAAATTACAGGAGGTAGTTGGAGAAAGGAATATAGGAACTATCAGTGTTATTTTGTATTATCTTTCTTTTCTATTACATTCTGCCTTCTGTCTGAATTTATCTGCAAGTCCCATAAGGTTTTCCTTCTTTTGGAGGAAAACTTTTATCAGCTTTGGAAAGTACAAGAACTAGAGAAATGCCAAATGTCATTTCTTGGTTAAAGTTGCTGGGTCGGAACCTGTTTTATCTTAAATACTTTTGGCCTTGATCTTACAAAGACAATGATATGTTGGGTTTCTAGTGGTCTTTTTTTTTTTTTTTGTCTTTATTCTCTTGCATCCTAATAGCATGCAGTCTTGAGATTCAGAATGTCCTTTTCCATATAGAAATAAAAAATAGTTCAGTAGATAGGACCCAGGAAATAATTTGGATCAATGAAACTCTTGGATTTAGGATTGCTTCTTTTTGTGACTTCTGCAATTGAAAATGGATCAAAACAAAAGCCACTTTCTGAGTAAGTAATTGTGGCACAGTAAAATTGTCCTTGAGTGACTTGGGTAGTAGTAAAAGCTATTAAATAAAGCTTCTTAGAAAAGAAAAGTTCAAAGTTCTGTGATGAAGAATAGCTGCTAATTGATTTAAGTTGGATTAGTAACTCTTCTTTTGTCTTTCACAAGACAAATCTCTTTGGTAATAGTTTTAGAGTAGTTTATCATCTGCTTGAGTAAACAGTTAAAGTTCATATCAGAATGTTCATCATTTCATTTCCATAACATATTCTGAGTTGTTAGTGAATACCTGAAATTTGTAGAATTTTGTTGGTGGTTTAGAATCAGGTACTTCTAGATAAATTTCTTCTTTACTAGCTTTTTTTTATACCACATGAATACATGTCAAATCAACATGAGTGCTCAGTATCAATAAAAATTAATCAAAAAACCATTCACATAGAGCAGAGTGTAATTTCTAAGAGAATAATGTATAAAATAAATATCAATATGCTCATTTTATAATCCAGAGGATTGGCCAACTTTAAATGGAATCTGTTCCAATGGGGTGGTACTAGCTATGAGTCTGCTTTTCCTAATTCCGTAAAGCAATGAGACATCCTTCCACTTTATTCGAAGAATAGGGTTGGCCTGTGTTTTTTCTGGCTCTTTTATTTATATTTGCATTTTGCTCATTTACATCTCTTCCATTTCTGAAAGCCTGACTTGTCAGAAATAAACAACAAATGAAGTCTCCTGAACATACAACGAAAAAAACAAGATGCAAAGTGGTATGGTTTAGTTATACCATAACTTACATCATATACTAGTTTGGGCACCATTCAACTAAAGCTCATACCATCATAGTTCTTTTCTTACTCAATCCCAGGTGTTAATTCCCTGTCCCTCTAAATCTGGTTCCTTTCCTTCCCACCACAGTATTACTGAAACTGAATTTTCCTCCTCTCACTTGCAATCACAGTGCTGGGGAGAAATAGTTGCCTTCTAAGTGAAGAATATACTAGAAACTATAGCCAATTTTTTTTAAACTACCAGGCCCTGAGTATTATCAGAGAACATCATCTGTGCAATAGGCCTGTGTTCTTTTGCAGTCTAGGTGCTGCTCTTTCCCAGTTAATCTTTATCTAAGACCTTCCTACTTGTTTTCAGCAAAGAAAAGAACAGGGGATGGCGTTGGGTATTCTAGATGCAGTCCTGTTCCTTTAGAAAGAGTATACATGAAATGTATAAGCTGGATGTAAAAGGGATCGGCAGACATTACTTTGCTCTCAGTTACAAAACTCCAGCCATCATGCCTCTCTAATTACTTTTCATTTACTTTCTCCTTAGTCATTATGCTTCTGATTGCTTAGTGGGCTTTTTTTTTTTTTTTTGTGAAGGGGTATTTCTGCTATTTCTATGCATACATGCATGCAACTGCTGTATGCTTGCCTTCAAACTGCAGAAAATACCTGTCAGCAACTGCTGTTTCAGCTTCATCTCACTTGCATTTTCAGTAAAAGATCCCAGGATTTTAACTCTAGTTCATTCACGCCACTTGGATAAGGGAAGTTTGCTTATTTGGCAGTTTCAATAAGATTTTGTCCAGTCCTCCAATCTAAAAATACATACAGTCTTTACAATATCTGATTTTTAACTTGTTACTTTGGTTTGTCTTCTTTACGTGTTTGATTCTTTTATTGTTAGGACAAAAAGAAGAAGGTCAGTTATGACGAAGACCTGTCAAGGAGAATGAAAGCAGAAGAGGATAAGTGGAATGAGAGGGAACTAAAGCACATGGAAAAGATGGGCATTGCAGAATTAAAGGGATAACGTTGCTGGTGAAGATCAAGTGGACAGATATATAGGAGATGGAAAGGCAGGTTAAAACAGGGTCGTTACAATAATGTCACTGAATAGTGTTATCACTGGTAATGCTGAAAACTTTTGGGGTAGAAAGAGGTAACCATGACAAGCAAGGAGCAGAAATGCAGAGTATAAAAGGAGACATTAGGAGAAGTCAGGTTCTTGAGGAGATCTGAAGAGGAAAAGTGACAGAAATAGGGAAACATAAGTAGTATGGAGGAACAGAGGGAGAACCTCAGTGAGAAAAGATTTAGGTGGTGAATGTAGTTAAGGTACTTGTATGTTATGAGGGCGAAAACAAAAAGCAACAAAGGCTTTGACTAGAGAAGAGATATTCTGGGATGTACAATAAGATGGAAGATTTAAACAGAGGATGAATAAATCAAAAAACGTAATAAAAACTGATGTAGCTAAACCAGTTATTTCAGCTAACGCTAGCATTCCTAAACCAGTTATTTCAGCTAATGCTAGCATTCCTTGAAAAAGGACTTTAGTTTCGGAATGAGAGTCTATTTGCTAAACAAATGTATGAAAATAGTCTGCTCAATGGTAAAATGAGTGCCAAGAGAGGAAATAATAGATTTTCAGGAACATATGGTGGTGACTGAAGCCAGTCATCTCACCCTTTACCATCTGGCCAAAGGATTGCCAAGATGTCTTGCCAATTTTCTGCGGTACATAAAATATACTCTGCTGTTATGCCCTACCTTCTCACCATAAATACTGATATATGTAATTAGACTTAGTGACACTGATATCGCCTATATTGAAGGGTGGTCTTTATGGATTTATACAGAATTTCATTTTAGCTTGACTGCAGGTCTTAAAGACTGATATGGCTGAGTTCCATTTTACCCAAGAGAAGAAACCTAATTAAACACTCAGAGAGGTTAAGTTCACAGCATAGATTATCTCTTTGCTGATGATGTTTTCTGATACAGGAAAATTAGAGTCTCCGCAGGGTGGGACATACCTCATTCCAGATCATACTCGGGTTTAGTGGTTTTTTAATATCCGTTAAGATGCACTCTCTTTAAATCTGATTGTGGTCAGTTGG